AGTATTCTTTGGAAAAAAAAGAAATTATTGGAAACTATCTAAACCACCCAGGCTTTTAAGTTTCCATTTCTGTGAGGGATATAACCAGAGGTCCAGAGAGCATTTGGCTGTGATGACAAATAAATTCAGGGGAGTTGCACAGTAAAGATTGCATTTGGGATTTGGTCTTGTACTTCCACCAACAGAGATGTTCTAATTCCACCATTCTGTACATTTTCCCCAGAAATGCCAATTTCAATAGTGCTAATCCAATGTAGCACATATGGAATATGGAGGGAAATCGTCTTTATCAATTGCCTGCTGAAGTTTTAACAAAACACTTAAATTCATGCTTGATTTTCTTGGGACTTAAGTAAATGCTGAAAGATTTGTGCAGTCACAACTGGGCTGTTTATTTGCTTTTATGCTGATGTGATCAATAGAAGGTTTTAGTCCAAGAACTGATTCATMACATCTGTTTTGGTGCTATTTTCAGACTAACACTGTCACTAATACAAACTTCTGCAAGAACATTTATAAGACCACACTCTAAGGSTTTTTACCATTGATTTGCCATCCCTGCTAAAATTCACAAAGGAAATGAGATTGAGTGCTCATGGTCTTGGTTTAAGCCAGCATGATTGAATTCACATGCAAGAATATGTGAAGCATTTGCTAGTGATACAGGAATCTGCAGTTTTTTAGTCACTGCTAGTCCTTGCCGCAGCTGCAGAAAAAAATCCTGAACCAAAATACAGTGTGAATGAAACACCTTATAAGAGCAATGAACAACAGAGTTTGTTTAAGACCCAGTCTCTAAAGGGGAACCACTCTCAGTGCTGAGAATCCTCTACTGAGGAAAAACATCCAGTTCCTTTGCTGGCAGAAACAGCTACAATCACATGTGAATGCCAGCACCAACAAGAAAAGATCTGGCCTTATACATTTCAATTTCCTGTTTGATATGCTCTTATTTCTTTTTTAGGGCTGGCTGGAAGGCTGTGTCAGCCTGCTCAGGAACGGTGCTAAGCAGAACATACCTGACAAAAACGGGAGGTTGCCACTGCACGCTGCCACTGCAGAGCCTGATGTGAGGTATGTACCAGGCTACCACAGCTTTTGCTGGTTGAGTCTCACAGGCAGCCACCATCCCAAGGAGAGCCCAGTATACCAAAAGGAAGAATAGCTGTGACAGCTACACTTCTGAGTCACATCTTTGTTTAGTGGTGAGAGGGTAGAAGAGGAGGAAAAACACTGTACAACACTTGTGTACCAGAGATCAATGGCCAAGTAAAGTGAGGAGCCTGACTTAATGTCACAATAGCTGGACAAGTGAAAATAATTATATTCATTATGATATAAATAGATACTATATATAAAAGAGGCTGAAACCCTGCATTTGTCCTACCCAACTCCCTTTCTGCCACCTACCCTGCATTTCCCCTGCCCAACTCCCTTTCTGCCACCTACCCACATGAAATATTACAAGAGAGTCCTTCTCTGGACTTCTCCTCTGAATAGCATGGCAAACGTGAGAAAAGTTTTCCACAAGACAACCTCTCTGAAAACCCCTACCATAAAAGCAAAGTTGAGGATTGGTGGTCTGGTTCATTTTTGACTGCTTTTACTGAAGGCAGAGATAGAGCTACAGAGTATATTCAGAGGAACCCTTTAGAAAGATTCTCTTTGTTTGATTCCAGTCTGTGACAATAGGAAGGTTTAATTTAATTTTGATTTGTATATTTGAATAAAATCACTTTAAAAAACTCTCCTAAATCATGCCTGAAGGTAGATCTACTTAGAAACAGGTAAAGCATTCAGTACATACMATACGTTCATATGATTTAATCACTGAGTCTACAATTTTTTTGCTGTAATCGTATCTGACCAGCCCAGACATCTGGCCATTTCTGCTGATCTTGTTTCCATCTTTTTTAACAGCTTTATTCATTTTCTGCATTATCTCTGCTTTTCATGCATTACTTGGAGAGAATAATTTGAGATCTCTGAAAAAAAGTCACTATCATTAAACAAAGCTGACACAGAAAGAAGACAACGTTTGTACAACACCACATATGCTGCTACATGAAAGGGAACACTAATCTACTCTACCAGGAACACACTGGTCCCCTGAATGTTCTTCATATTCTCCATGGATACAGGCAGACCTTTCTTTGCTCTGCACAGTTTTCCTTTTCCTCTGTCTTCCCACTGGGTTTGCTGGGGCCAAAAACACTAAAGGGGAGGTTTTTCCACCATGGGCATTGTTACTCTCTTGAAGCCTATGCCACTGCCAAAAGAGAATATGCAATGACCAGTTATAAAATGGTTTTGCATCCAAGTTTGAAAGCTGGCAGTCCACTGCTACAACCTGATGAGCTGGAGGCAGCATGGAAACAGAGAGATAGTTCATATATTGATTTATTTTCATAAATCAATTATGTGCTTCAGTGCATTCCACAGAGCCTAACAGGCAAGGTGGAAAGGGAATGCATTCCTAATCTACGCCATTAGAAGTAGATATCAGAAAAACCTCAGTCCATGGTTGGATATCTACAGATTTAAATGGCAGCAATTACGTTGCCATAAGAGGCTAAAGACGAAACTGAGTCAAAGTTTGTTTGATKATAAAGATTCTACTCAAATAAATAGATTTCCTTCACATGCAGTGGTTTCATTGATCATATCTGGAGCTGAACCACAGAGTCCTGAACCAGATTATAAAACTATGTGATAAATGGGTTTTACAAGCATACTCTGGTTATCTCACTTACTTTTTCCTCACCAGTCCATCTTCACCAAGACCTGTTTTCAGACACGGAATTTCTGAGGTTCTGAGTCATTTTGCTAAACGACCACAGAATCTTTCTTCCCTTTTTACAAACTTTTACCAAACCAATCACAACAATCCTAAGTTCCTATAGTATGACTCCATTTAGAAAGTGAGGTGTAACAACTCTTTTCTAGAAGAATTTGTATCTATATGCATTAAAAATATTGCTTTCAAACAGTATTTCATGTAACTACTGTATTGTTCCCTCCACCAGAGGGGAGTGTTTGTAGTCCAGTATTCTATCAAATGTGAACCTATGCATCGCTATGTTTCATGACACAATAATGGCCCTATTCCAGCAGATATAYTGTAAGGCCTTGTATAATTTTGGGGTTTGTGTGTACAAGCACACAGTAAGCATACATACACACGCATGCACGCAAATGTGTACACTACATCACCTAACTCCAAGAGTTAATTAGAGTGAAAAATACTTACAGAAGCTGGCCTTTCTGTTACTTTAGGACATTATAAAGTAGGTTGCTAGTAAATTGCTAAGCTACCAAAAATTCCACACATGTATAGTATTATTCATTCTGATTCTAGCCTGACAATCAGAACAAGTTATTCCTAGTGGATCTGCTTTTAGCTCTATACTTCTGTTGTTACTGGAAGCCATAAATTCCTGTTTGTTCTTCTCATATGACAAGACTCAGACCTAAGATTCTGACCTGCATCTATCACCAATACTGATTTTTTCGCATTTTGTTTTTTAAAAAACTGTCCRTTTTTCAGGTTTAGTCAGGAGTACAGCACACTGATTATGTCGTTGCTTCCACAGGCTTCTGAGTGTGCTCCTGCAGCAGTCAAATCTTAGTGAAATTAATCATCAGGACAATGAGGTGAGTGAGATTGTGTTAAAAGTTACAGTCTGTGGCACTGAGGCACAGAAGCCACCCACTGTATTGGCAGTGGGTGAGAGATGAGACTAGGTACTTGTCAAAAATTTCTGTAATGTTTTTGCTGAACTCTGCAAAGTATTATCTCATTTTTCCTCCCATAAGCTATGCACCTGTAGGCTAATAAACCTTCTCTGTATTCAGCCAACTATGAGGTTCCTTGAATCTGTCTCTTAAATAATTTGTGAAGACAAAAATTTCCCTTGATGCTTCTGAAGTTAAACACTGGACCAAATCTTCACCTTTACTAATAATAAGTGATCAAGGCCAAGCTGAGTGGAGCTCTGACCAACCTCATCTAGCAGAAGGTGTCTCTGCCCATGGCAGGCAGACTGGAACTAGATGATCTTTAAGGTCCCTTCTAACCCAAGCCGTTCTATGATTCTACAATTMCTTGATCCCATCATTCAACTGCTGCTCTCAGGAAAAAGATTAGAGAGCTGGCATTACATAGAACAGTCACGGAAGCACAAAAATTTGAACTGTTCTCTGATCCATATGGAATTGTGTCCAGCATGTACAAACAGTGTACCTTGGACAGTGTTAACTTCCCAGTTGTATAGAGAAGCCAAGACACAAGAGAGATTTAGAATGTGTTTTWCATATGTTTCTCTTCATTCTAACAGTTGCTCAAGGATGTGTTTCTTTTCCACAGTGCCAGAATGGCCAGAAAACTGTTAATTATTCCTCTTCCTCACTCACTGAAGGTTTGCAGACCCTGCTCACAACACCTTAAACCAGACAAATGCTTTGTCTGGTGTAGAATTACATTGCTAATGAATTGCATGGAACTGTGGATCATCATTTCAAGCCATAATATTTTGCTGTAATGCACTGCTACATGCAATTTGGAACTTTTGGTCCATCYCACTGTCATTTGGCTCTGACAACGTATTTGTTCAAGTGTCAGTACTAAGCCCTGAATACTCATGTTTTCTGAAAAATAYGGATCCTCACAAATGATTGCAGCTAATAGAGCTGTTCTCTTGGCATACGTAAAACTCTTCAGTTTTCTCATCTGACACTTGAGAAAAACACCCTGATGAATGCATGAACACGTAAACAGTAAGAAATACATCTGGAGGTTTCATAGCTTCCACAACTGTGTCTTTCTGTGGGTTTATCAGTGAAGTCTGTGAGATGACAATGTGAAGAAACATTCCCTGTAAAAGCCTTGAATCTAAGCAAGAGTGTTACACTATATTTCTCTCGGCCATTTCTCATATTTTATTTTTTTATGTCCCCTACTCCTCCTTATTTTTTTATGAATGTGCATTTGTTTAGCTGTCTCACCTCTAAGATTATATTCTGCTGCACCTTCAACTTTGACAGTTCTGATATCACTCTCATGCTTCCACTCACAAAGAATCATCTATCTACCTACAGGTGCCTCTCAAGGGTGGTTACACTTTGTACAAACCAAATGGTGTGGGCTGGGCAGCCACTGTCCTCTGCAGAAAGCCCACGTGTGTGCTGATGCCACAAACAGCTTATTGCTCTTTGCTCAGCTGAGCACTCCAAAAGGACATGTGGAATGTACAGAGAATGAGAAAGGAAATGGAGAACAAAACAGGAAGCTTTGTCTGAATCCTTGGTACAGCTACATGGCAAATGACAGCTACAAGAGTAGCTGTAAAGAGTAATCTGAAAAAAAAAGATACACAGGAAAAGGAACAGAAAAGGTACTACAAAGATGATAATAGTTATAAAGCAGCTTCCTTCTGTGGTCAAGCTAACTAGAACAAACTACCTATATTAGGACTTTCAGCTTGGGAACTATGTCAGAGGGATGGTATAAACCCTCCTTATAAATTGCGTGGAAATGAAAATATAAATATTATTAACTGCTCTGGGTTTTTTGCTTGTAAAAATATGGGGACACCTACAGAAATTATTGAGCAATAGTTTCAAAGAAAATGAAAATAAATACTTTTTCAGAAAATGCATCATTACCCTTTGGAGTGCTGGATATGTTAGGAATTAGTCTGATTACCAAATGTTAGGTGGCACTATATTTTCAAGGACTAAACTCTATGAGYTTTGTCCCTGTACTGCAGAGACCTCTGAAAACTATCCAGTTTTACAATCTTACATTACAGTTAATTCTGCTGGCTAACAGAGTAAAAGCAGAGAAAAAGTTGATTTTTCAAGGATGTTTTTTTGGTCCATACGAAGAGGCTGAGAGTGGATAACAGAAAGAAGGCCTGGTACACCATAGTTTCTCCTTCTTCAGTGGTTTTTCTGCTCTCCAGGACCAGTGACAGTACCCATTTCCCAGCTGGAAATCACTTTACTGAACCTCTCTTCATGACATTCACAGATAATGGTGTCCACCAACCGTACTAAGTCCCTTGTGTCCAATATCATCAATAGCAGAGCTCCCATTAATTTCCATTGGTGCAGGATTTTACCCTCAATTTTGGTTTTGCAAAACCAAAACCCCCATGATTAAGCTTTACAAGCCCTAAGTAAAACCAAAACTGCTCTCGTTTAGCTGCTCTGTTTTGTTATTACCCATACTTAGGTCACATGGGAACTTAAAAGTCTTATAAGATAYGTGACGAATGAGAGAAATGAATGTTAAGGCATTCAAGCTTTTAGTCAGAAAATCACTGCAAGCTTCCACCATTAATGCACTGATAAGCCGTGAATCAATATAGCTCATACTTTATCTGGGTTCTTACCAGCTGCCTTTATGGGGTTCTATTTCAAGTTTTCATTTCTTTTCCACTCAACCTTTCCTTTTTAATCTTTTTTATCATTTTGGAAATCAGGCAAGACACTTGAAATGCAATTTTTCTGGTAAGAGAAAAACACCTGCCCAAAGTAAAATGTTACCACACCTGAAAAGCACTAGAAATTTGTTARAAATAATAAATGAGTAAATTTATACAGAAAATCTTAATTCTTTTGGATATAGAGTARAATACAGGTGTGTATAACAATGCTGAAGCTGCAAATACAGGCCATGAATTTTCTGATCTACTGAGACTGACTGGATGCAGCGAAGATGGAATGAAAATACAGGTAAATAGGTTACCATTCGCTTTGTGTTCTCCCAACATATAAAATGTTTATTGTGACTTTTTTTGTGGACGTCACTCTGTCAGTTCTTTAGCTTGCTGACTAGTGCCAGCTGCAATACGAGCTTATTATATTTATTTTGGATCAAATGTAAGAYCAAATACAAACATCATGCTGTGTAAGGCCAAAGCACCAGTCTAAGCCAGGCTTTTCTCACAGGATCCAAGCTGAGCAGTGAGGATCCATTCAGCTGCGATCATGGCCCTGACATGAYGTTATTCATGACAGGATATAGTCACTTACGGAGGAAGCATTTGTATTTTTATCAATTTCTGTCCTATTTCAAATCAAAGCGAAGAGGGAAGAATCTGTCCAGCCTGGATGGTTTCAGGGCTGCCAAGCCTATCTACAGAGACTTGAAGGCTGCTCCTGTGAGTGACAATAATTTGCCTGCTGGGCTTGGTCTTATAGGGAATGACTTCACTCCACTGGGCTGCGTTCCACAACAGACCCCAGCACACCCAGACTCTGCTGCACAAGGGAGCAGACCCAACYCTGGTGGACAAGGACTTCAAAACAGCTCTGCACTGGGCAGTACAGGTGAGCCCTGACACAGTCCCATCGGGATGTTTATTGAGCTGAGTTGGCTATTGTGTTGTCCTAAATACTCCTAAGCAAATAGTTTGGGCTGTGGAACAAGAAAATCGGAGGCTTAGAATGCCCACTAAGTTTTGCCAGTATGGGTATGGATCGAGGATTCAGCATCTTCTTTGTACACCAAGGCATCCTTAATATAGGCTTAGCCCTGTTGCCCTAAACAAAGTTTTCAYTTATCTTATGGGGATTATGTTTATGTGTCATGTTGAAGTCATGTTTCATTCTTTGCACTAAATCAGGTTTGCAGAAACCAGCAGCTTGCCAAAGGCCTTTGGGAATAAAACAATATAAACACAAGTTAAAAACACATTTAAAGAGCTACAGCAGTGTATTAATAAGCTGAAGGGTTGAGGCTCTACTTCTTTGAGGCCTGGGGAAGACATGGAGCTAAACACATTTCCTGTTGAGCTGTATGTTCCTATCTCATATGCAAAAAATTGTCAAATACTCTGATGCCTTAGGACTTTTAGTTTCTATATTTTCATGTATCTGTATTCTTGTACTTCTCTAGTACAGTGCTAARCTCCTGCTCTCCCATCTTTAGACAAAATAGTCCCTGTCTGAGCCTGAATCCAAGAACATCTCACTGCCTCAGAGCCCCAAAATATGTAAACAACAGCGAGTTGAGGGGGAGCAAGCTTGGGGTGATTGACATCATCACCTGAAAGTATCATTGGGMATTGGGGCCCAATATGTTAATAAGACAGAACTTATAAAAGGGGAAGATCTCATGACTTGGTGTCCGTTTTGGGTGTAGCCTGAGGAGGAGGCTTTTGTCTGCCCTTAATGCACCAGTAGGCCTGGATTAAATGTGTCTGCCTTTATTCTCTCAATTTTGTCTGGCCTCTGTTTCAGGTCAGCCTTGTTTTATGCATCACTCTGGTCATCATTAGAGRAACAAACCATACAGATTTAATATGATGTTAAAAACTCTATTATGTAATTGTTATTAAGTGACATAAAATAAGCATAATTTATTGGTTTTCCGAGTTTACTGCAGAAAACTGCCCAGATGAAATTGTGTAAGTATGCTTATACTTGCTTACTTGCCATAACAAGTTCCAGTATCAATGTTCAAAACATCTGCTCAACAGATAAGCCCAAATAGAACTCACACAAAAATCCAGTAATACTTTCCTATAATGACTAAATTTTTGCATCCTCCCCTTTTGGTCTGACTTTGCTCTTCTTGAAAGAAGTGTCAGCAAAAATATTTAAGAGTCCTGAACTGCCAWATATTGTATTTGTTACGGGGTAAGAACATCCGAACAACTGATCTGTTTCCTTCAACCACAGCCTCACAAAGATGGTTAACATGTAATAGGGTCAACTTTTTTTTCTGAAATAGAGGTATATTTTGACGTCTGCAACTGGTAGAATTTCAAAAGTTTTGTTCCTCTTTAGTCCTAATCAATCTTAAATTCTACTTGTTATTTGTCTTTAGAAAACTAAAGGTATCTACCCTACTATATGTTGTGTATTTTTACCAGGCTTATTCCAGTTCTGGCTGCTTCCAATGGGAACTCTCTGAAACTCATGCAATCTCYTGCATGATAGCCAGTGGTCTGAATCATAGCTCTCGGGGCAAACTGCCCAAAAAAACAGAAAGAAAAAAAGTGAATCACCTTTATAGAGTTCCACTCCTTCTGCAGGCTTTCCCTAATYCTGTATTTTGTATGTTTCATTATCTAATTCCACAGTTAACTCCCATCTCCACCCATCTCTCATAAATGTGCAGAGTAACTCCTGAGAAATGGGGAAATGGAAACTGCAGAAAACCCACTTGGCCTCAGGTGGGGGCAAATCACAAATCCCTTTCTTCTCTTCCTTYAAGCTGCTCCCAGAAATCAAGAGGAAATGTGGAGAATGACACACATACATAACCCTTTTTCACTTTTTGTGAGATTTCTGCCATGAAACCTTATAAATTGCTTCTTCCACATAATTTTCTATATTCTAGGGTCCAAAGGAGCAGTTCAAATATCAGAGCATAAAATAGATCTGTTCACATTTCTCTTACTCAAAAATGAAAATGCTCGGCCAAGAAAAAAWTCACTTTCAGCCAGCGCTCTCTATTGCCCTATTATGCCCAGGAGATTTAGATACTGTGGACAGGCACAACTTTTTCTGCTGTGACAGAGAACAGAACAACTGCTCTGCAGGAAGGGATCAYCATTATGTTTAATAGCGTCCTCCATGGCTTCTGGAAAGAGGATATTTTTCCTTTAAGAATTGTATAAATATCTTCAGAGAACAAGAGACTCACAGAGCTCAGGCAGTACAGCTGCAGGGGTTATTTTTGGCTGAATAGGGCCTGTGTTTAATTTCTTCCTTTTTTTTTAATGCAGGAAGGGGAAGACCAGAAAGTGCACAAATACTTGTTTCAGAAGTTGCAGGGAAGAGGCAGTTTGTGCACACTGGGCTGAAACACAGAGCAGAACCATATGAAAATCACTGCAACCATTCAAAATCAAATTCCTGGGCATGGGGCATATTCCATGTGAAATGATTGTTTCACAGTGGCTTTGTATTAATACATGTTTGTGGCTTTGTTTTCCATCAGGCATCATGGGCTGATCAGTCCCATCCATGTAACCAGACAGACCTTGATCACACCAAGATSTGTTTCTTTGAAAACCTGCCATTCAGGTTCACATCTTAAGTGCTAATGCACCACATTAGGGTCAAAAACTCTGATCATTACTGCTTGGGGTGAGACTATCTCATGCCACATGTTTTACACATGCAATATTGCTAAGGGTTGGTCCAGACAAGCCTATTAGAAGWGTCTCAGGAGGTATTTCTCTCCTTTCACTGCAGCCAGCATCAATTACAGTAGTGAAAAGGAAACAAGCCTTTTAAATAAAACACTGAATCAAAGTCATTCTAACAGTTYTAGATAATGGTATTATTGAAATCCCAGTAAAATATAGTGTATATATCACAGAGCAGACAATATCATACTACATACTACTACTACATACTACTATACTATAACCATATTAGTAGTACCTTGGAAATAGCCTGGGAATATCTGGAATATTCCTACTTTGCCTTGCCAGTTGGCATCATTTTTACCAGAATTTTCTTTGTCTCTTTCTCAAAGACTCTGGCTAACAAAGTCATATGATTATGGAAAAATATCAGCTTTCAGTTAAAGGATTAAAAAAGCAGGGTTTTTTTCTAAAGTGAAGAAATACAAACTGGTAAGAATAAAAAGAAAGCAAATAGAAAGAAGCTACTAAAAATAATTTCTGCCATGAGAAGCTGTGCTTATTATTTTTAATAGGCTGACTTGGAGTGCAAGATTTTAAAAAATTAGAAGCCAGCATGCTTGTTCCAAGCATTGTTCTACAGCAATAATGTAGATATTTCATTCCTATGTTCCCTGAGAAGAGAGTGAAATATCTGTATATATAAAACATGCTGTAAGAGAAATGCACAGGTAATTATTCCTTTGTGTTTGGCTGACCAAGCATTGCAGTCTTTCTGTGAGGCTAAAGAACACTTAAATGTCAGGATCTCTAGGAAAAAAAATCTCTCTGTTGCTGCATGACATCTCCAGAGACACAACAGTCAATCCAGCCAGAGCTGAAAGGGGCCAGGATTCACTGTCTAGTTGTTTTCAGGCGGATTTCTTTCCCTGCAAAATTGTACTCCTTTTCTCCTTGTTTCATGCAGTTTTACAGAGAATGCTTGAAAGAAAAAGTAGTGATTTACTTTTTATGTCACTAAGCTTTAAAGATGATTTTGAGTGTTAATGAACAAGTCAAAAMTATTTTCAGTTCGCATTTTTTAAATATACACTTTTAAAAAATCATTTCTTGAGTAAATATTGTCATTCTAGCCATGGCACAGCTCTTGCTTATGGAGGCTGGAACACTGCATAGCAGCAGGGATCTACAGAATGCACTGTTGCAAAATAAGACAGAAGAGAGTTTGCAAATAGTTTCAAGTAAGAAATAAACTTGCTTTAATAACAACAGAAACCTTTTCCATAAAGTACCCTAAATATTTGTGACACTGTCTGCAAAAGTGAATTAAATGTGCTTGAGTCTTGGCTCTGGCACTGAGGCAAACTATCACAGGACAACCTGTGTCCCTACAGCTAGCCTCTCTTATTTTCTAAAACAGGATGGTCATACACAGACCACTTACTTTGAGTGGTCTGGGGCCCATCCTATCTGCAGGAACTGGTAGGGAAAGTATTAATTGATACAGGCCTAAACCATGCCAGGGAGCATATTAAGACTTATATGCTAGAGACAACAAAGTTCAAGTGCTGAAATATGTTCCTGAGTGCTACTTAGTTTTTTATATCACTGAAACCTATTTCTTCACTTTAAGTCATCACAAAATCACCGAATGAGCTGAGGTGGAAAAGTCTCACAAGGATCACCAAGTCCTACTCCTGGCTCTGCACAGGAAACCCCAAGAATCACACCATGTGCCCAGGAGCATTGTCCTAATGCTTCCTGAATTCTGTCAGGGTTGGTGCTGTGATCACTTCCCTGAGGAGCCTGTTCCAGTGCCCAACCACCCTACGGTGGGCAAGAAAACACTTTCTAACATCCAGCCTCAACCTTTGGGACCTGTCACTGCTCACCAGAGCAGAGATCAGTGCCTGTCCCTCCTCTTCCCCTCACAAGGAAGTTGTCCCTGCACTGAGGGCTCCCCTCAGTCTCCTCTTCTCCAGGCTGAACACACCAAGTGCCCTCAGCTGCTCCTCACAC